CCCACCCCTCCCTCCCCCCTCACCCCCCCCCTCCATGCCTTCGCCACTTCTGCTGGTAGCTTCGGCAGGGATGCCGATGGGGGGGGGGGGGGGGGGGGGGGAGTTTTCCTCTTTTGAGGGAGAAGCTAGATGGCTTCTCTGTTTGGCAGGAAAGGCCAACAGGGTTGGATGGCTTGGACCATGCTAAGGTTTAGAGAAATCCCAGAAGGGAGGAAAGCTGAAATGGGAGTTCCTTGTTCTGTAGCTCCCAAAAAATTGCTGCAAAGCAGTTGTCCAACATTTCTTTTGGAGCTCTAACTGAGCAATTAACTTGCCGAGTTAATTTACTTGAGTTGGTTTGGCATTGCAAGATGGCCAGAAAGCCCAGAGTGTCATATGCATATAAGGGCGGTGCCTTTCTCACACTAGCATATCCTATCATTGTATATGAAAGGGCTCATAGACTTCAGGAATCGCAGTATTCTTTATTTTTGTAGAAAGAAGGTATATGGACAGCATCAGTAACATTCAACCATTATGTAGAATCTTATCTCCTGTCACCGTGCTGCTATAATGCACACGCGTTTTTTCCCATGAACAAAATATTTCTAGAGAAATATCTTGCCCTCTAAATAGATGTCTTTTCCCTATGTTTTGCCCCAATATGCATTCATCCATAGTCCATTTTGCATATATTGCAATCAAAAGCTAAACTGTACTACTTTCCATATTCACATATCAGCAGGGAATTGAAATGCTACTATTGATTCTTTTACTTGCAATCTTCCATTAGCGCTGAAAACCTGAAACTAGAATAGATGAACTTGAAAATTTAAGTTTTTTGTCATGGTTATTTTTATTAAACGAGAACATTAAAGACGACCCCTCCCCCCAAAAAAGTGCTGCTTTTTGTCACTTTAGGGAAAAATGTGCAGGTTTTTTCCCCCCAAAAATGGAACAAATCAAATTATTACTTATCTGAATTGACCATGTTCAATACTACCACTGTGCTGAGCATGGAAAAGAAAATATGATACCTATTTGCCGTGTTTCTCTTTAAGAACAGTCACAAAAGAGAAGCAGCAACTTTAATTCAAGACCACAGACTGAAAGCATTAGGTCTTGAAAAGGCTTTTGGACTAATGTATCAGTTTCACTTTCTTCCATTTCAATTTTTTAGAATCGCCATGAACCAAATTAAGGGAACTCCTATCCCTACTGAAATTAGCTCTTAATGATTTTATCCAGTCCCAGAATGAAAGTAGTCTGAACCCCCTCGTCGTTTAAGCCAATCTCTCATCTTATGTCTCCTGCAATGATAGGGGCTATTTTCATTTCTATCCTATATATTAGCACTATCCAAAGGTGCATCTTGACGTCGGAGTCTCAGCCCAGCGACAGCTAGGGGCCACTGTTGCACTGCATGCCAAGCAGAGCCCAAGAAACTCTGAATCGAACAGACCATCCGTATCATCTTCGGACTGCAATGGATACATCATATCTGGATGCCACAAAAGTGATGCACTGTTTCGATGGGGTGCCAAGTCACCAGTTCTGATTGTTCTCAATCCAGCAACAGGCTCCATGCAGTTAAGGTTACCTGTAGCTATCTGCTTAGTTTAACCTAGTGATCCAGGGCTGGATGAAAAGGGACTGGAGAAATCTCATTGCCTCTTGTTTTTTTGTTCAAATAGATCTCAGGAAGAAGATTGTCTTCAAAAGATCTCAGAAGCGCCTTTGAACACAAAATGATTAAAGGTTGTCTCTCCTCTCATCCCACATCAGCAAGGCTACTAAACACCTTGCTTTGCCTCTGACAGTAAATGCATCTTTTGTCAGCCACAGCTGTAAGTTTTGCTTTAGCGTGAGCATTAAGATACAGAAAGTCAGTATAGGAGATCAAATAAGTTCTATATTTTGGTTCTCTATGTGTGCTTAAATAAGGGTAGAACAATGTAAATTATAATGGGAAGTAAAACAAAAAACAAAAAACAGGCAGCACCAATCCCATACATTTGCCAAGAGAACTTCAAGGAAGCATTCATGAAGTTACCGGGAAGGGAACCTGGCTTGAAAGAGAGTTGCCTTTCTTTTTTAAAGCAGGGGGTAGGCAGGAGAATGACTTGAAGCATCCATATATCTGGAACAAGCCTCAGCACCTGTAAAGCTTCCACAGTTTAATTAAAAATATATTGAAATAAAAATAAATGGGAAATTGGCATGTATAGCTCTTTTTTACAAAAATATTCCCCACATAGGTATCATTTGCAAACAAAATGGTGGATGAGAGCTGTTTGGGAGTGTGGGCACCTGCCCCCCCCAAAGATAACATTCTTTAGCAAAGAGCATCCTGGGGTATTTGATGGGATGGCAGGGAGAAATTTTACCCGTTTGACTTTAGAGAAATAAGGGTTTGATAGCAGCCATTTTGTGAACAGGCAAGTCCAGCCTCCTGCTATTCATTTTATGAGCGCTCTTAAACTCTGAAGGCCAGTTCCATGCTCCATCATGGGAGCTCCCTGGGTGGCTTTGGACCAGTAACCATTTCTCAGCAACCTTTCCCCCAGAACTATTATTGTGGGGGGAAAATGGAGAGCACCATGTACTCTGCCTACAGCATTGAAGAAAGGCAGGATATGCATCTAATGAATAAATAAGTAACAGATGGTGACTAAACAGCAGCAGCCCAGAGAAGAAATGGGCTGCAAAGAGCTTTGAATCAAAGCATTAAAAAACAGGCTTTTATTGGGGGGGGGAGGGGAGGAGAGGCAAACATTGTAATTCCTTTGAATGAATGATTGTGCCTAAAACTTAAACAGAGTAATTCTGATGCGGGCTTATTAGAAATTGTTGAATTAGACTGCTGCAGATGGCACCTGCAATGAAGTATCAAGCTGAACGGAGCATTCCTGTGACTGACTAGCATGCTGGTTTTCCCCCTAGAAGCTCTGTTTAAGAGAAACAAGTTTGGGAAAGCCTGCAGAGGATGAATTCCAGAATTCACCTACCTCTCTCAAAAGGATGCACTGGGGAACATTTTTATGGCTTTTTTTTTCTCTACGACCTCTGGCCAAATCCAGCCCATTTTCAAACTTGATTTTTCTTTTGTTGGCTTCTCCCATTACATCAAAGCTAGTTCCATTCTGTTTTATTTTTGGAATGTTACCCCGCTGATGGACAGAGAGTCAGAGTCTCGAGTTCCTTCCCATAAATTGCTTCCAACATTCCATTGGGTTGGAAAGGATTAAAAAAAAAAAAAAAAGGCCTTAAGGTAAGGGCTCCCACGCTGGAGGGCATGAAGGGAATCCAGGGTGTGTATGAGAGGATGTGCAAGTGTTAGAAAGACGATCACTGTGCAAAAAACTAGAGTTTTCAAATGAAAATCTAACTGACTGGGAAGACTGAGGGGGTGGGCATGCTGATGGGAGGGAAGGAACCGCTGCAAAGTTTGACAGTGTGCTGTAGGAAGACTGGGGGAAATGGTGGGAAGAACAGGGCTGGGCTGGCGGATGAGAAGATTAGTGGCAGATTGTTGGGGATTTGGGGATGGAGGCCAGATGGATATCTTTGCACACGCATAAGATGGGGAACAGATTTAGTGGACATTTGGCCGGGGAGGAGTGAGACTTCTTAAAAAATCAAAAAGGGAGCGCAATGCCAAAAATCTTCGAAATGGTTGATGAAGAGGAGGCTACTCCCAAGCCCACCCAAGGACTGAGCACACGGGTCTGTGTGATGTAGGAGCCAAATATGTAATTGTGAAATAGAAGCACATTGAAAAGATAATGCAGTGGTTAGGCTACAGCAGATTTAAGAAACCAAAAAAAGTTTTTTTTTTCTCATCACTGAGTATTTATTATATATAACAAATACATGAAAAAGAAAAAACTATATTGTGTGATATAAATAGTTTATTTACATTACAGAAAAAACATCAAGACAATGTATACTATTTCAAATATATCCATACATAATCAAATATAGCTGTAGTACATGTTTCGTTTTGTTCTGTTTTCATTGGTGTCGATTACCACAAATGCAAGGCAACATGTGTAGAACTTTTGTCTATAATACTGTATTTTGTCAGTCCAAGCTCTCTGCAGTTTACTTTTGCCATTGTGGAAACATGCGCTCTTTTTTAAATTAACCTGGTCGATGCTCTTGTTGTGTTGTCTGAACTGTAGTGCCCTGTGTTTTGCTTTTGCCTGTGAATTCTGTTGCTCCTGGGACATTTCCTGAAAGCAGCCAGGGAAGGAGAAAGGGGGAGGGGGGAAAAGCATGAAATTTGCTTTGCTAAATGACAGCAGAGAATTGCAGCCATTCAAGGGCAACTGGAGATTCTACCTGTCACTCCAACTCATCTTCTCTTGACTGCCCAGCTACAGAGCTAGTAAAGAAAGGCAGCCCCTTGCTCACCCGCGGGACCCAATTTTAATTCAGGAGCTTGGAAATGCCAAACCATTTCTCCTAGGACCTGGCTTGCATGTAGAAAGGTCTGGTTTCTCAGTCCTGGTTTATATCTCTTCCATAAACAATAGGGGCTTTGAAACCATTGAAAAAGTGATGTACAGAAAACCATGGAGAACATATTCTCTTCAGTTTCACCCAGCTTGGGTAATATGAAAGAAGAATGAAGTTCATCCCCACAGTAGCTTCAATTAGTCAACGCAAATAATAAACCAGCAGGTTGTCCCCCCCCCACCTCCAACTGATAAAAACTGTAACATTGAAGCAGTACAATATAAACTATAAATATTTTTAACCCTCAAATGCTCTGCTGAAGAAGTAAAAAAATAACTTTAGGGGCTAAGCATTATAGATGTCAAAGGAAAGTCTTGTATGGCATTGTATACTAGGTTTACAGCATAATGTATGGCATTCATTATTGTGGGATTCTGGCTAGAGCCAGATACTATCAGTGCATTAAAGACACTAGCATCCAAAAGTCTTTTGGAATGCCATCGAGGTCAACCACCAAATTCCACCCTCAAAGAAACATAACTACAGTCCTCTTCTGTGAAGGACTAAAATGGCACAAAGCATGGCACCATTTTCCATTATCATGGATTGGGAGAATAGCTGCATTCAGAATTACTGTTCTTCGTAAAGTCTATTTTTGTTTCAAACACTGCCCATTTCTTGCCCTGCTACTTCGTTTCATATCTTCCAAAGAATTTTCTCTTCATATACGCCTTGAGTCTTTGGAACGGGATGTTGTATAAATAAAATAAGTTGTTGTATAAAATAAATAAATAAAAATGTGTTAATTTAAAAAAACTAGGATTAGGCAAACCACAAAATATAAGGAAAAGCATGATGGAGGGTGAGGCATACTGAATTTAAAACATTGTTCAATTAATTCATATTAATTAATTAGGAGTTCAATTAATGAATTAATTCATATAATTAGGAATTTTCAATTAACTCATATAATTAGGAATTCAAGTAATGTTCAGTGGGTATAAACTGAGTTACTACTGGATTCTTAGGTAATACAATTGCTCCCTAATATTAAGAAATTAGCACTTGCTATCTCAAATCTATAACTTACTTTAGAACTCTGAAAAAGACAGAAATAAATGTTGGCCCTTGGTCTTTCTCCTCTTCTCCCATTCCTTGCCCACCTTCAGTCAAATTCCCCAATAAGATATCTAGCTTATAGCCATTAACCACACTTCAAAAATGAGGTATGTGAGGTTATGCAGTGATTGGGACGTGAAGGGGAAAAGACCATTCAGAGTGCACAGAAGTGCTCATAGAGCACCTGTGGGCAAGTCCTTCAAGAAGTGATGTCCTTTCTAAGGTTCAGATGGCTATTGCTATGCAATCCCAAACAAAGACGAATGTGGTTTAAGAAAGTCCCAATACATGGTTCATGCTCACATAGGTGCACTGTGGACCACCTGCTTCCCTTCAAATCTACATTGCTGCATAGTCCTAGTGTATATTTACTTCTTTTAAAATCAGTGAATCTCTCTTACATACAGTGCTTGCTTATATTTAGCTGAACGGGTTCTCTTGAAGTCCTCAAACAAACAATCCTCCTGGAGAACAATTTGGGATTTGGACTTAATGAATGTCATTGTAATTCTTTATATCATAGAAGTCCTTTTAAATTGTTTTTAGGAAGGCATCAGGAATTGATCATGAAAATAATACATAGGCAGCACTCTGTTACACTACATAAATTGTAACCCTTGTAGGTTACATTAAGGGTTGGCATATATTATCACCTTTGGTGGTATTGTCTACTTTATCTCTGTAGTTGAAAGATTTGAAGACACTGAGAAAAATCACCTATTTACAATGAACCCTGCTATGGCTTGATTTATTGGCTATGTTTCCTAAGGCATATAAATTGATGCATCATAAGAAATTGACTCAATTCCTGATGTTAGCAGCTATGTTTGTTATCACAAAACCACTGAAAAACTAAAATACATCTTTCAGCAGATCAGTGATAGCTGGGTTGATATTCTAGCACAAAAACAAAAAGCTTTGAAAATCTCTATGCGTAAAGGTGGTTCAAATCTGCTCACGTTTCCTGGCAATTTTTTAACAATGTTTTTGCTACCAGATTATCTTTTATTTTGATAGAAATACTAAATATAGATGTTTGTCTTTAATGTCGCATATAGAATTGTCTCCTCTGTATACAAGCAGTCTTTAATTTGCGTTGATGTGCCTCCGTGTTGTTTGGAGAAGTGGATTTGGAAGGGTGTTTTGCTTGCGCAGTGCGGCTATACAGTGACCTTTGAGAAGTTGAATTATTTGGATAGCCCTTCATATTCCCAGACTTCTGTCTCTCTTTCTCTCTCTTCTTGTTTCAATATTCATTGCTTTTTTTTTCAGTTTTAATGCTGTATTTTTAGTTTTTGTCTTGCCTTTTGTTTGTTCACAGAAAAGTAAACTGTATGCTCTTTAATTATCTGAACTCTGCAATAGCTTCAGTACTCAGTTTATGAATATTTATATTATTGTCTAAATAGGTTCTGGGAAGTTGCTGACACTTATAGCTGAATCTATGCAGCTAATCATAGTTACATCTTGACCAATGGGACTTTCTAATTTCTAAATAAATAAAAATAGCTAGGACTGTAACCGTCGGCTTATTTCTCTGGAAGTGTCACTGAATTTGATTTAGCCTACTTTGGAGTAAGGAAAAACTTGCCTTGTTATGGCAAAAAGCTCTGTTCTCACTATTTTCTGCCTTGGGTGCCATAAAAATCACCCATGGGCAACTAAGGGATCTTGATGGGTTTCAGAGGAAGCTTGAGCCTTTCCCTGGAAGTTTGCTAGACAGTTCAGTTGAGGCCTTAAGTGTCTGCCTGGAAGGACTGGAATGTTCCTATGTGGCTGTTCCCTGTTCTTTGATCCTATGGGACTCCCTGGTGTGCTGAGGAGCTTCAGGAGATGAAACAACAGAAGAGACGCATAGAGCATGATTGGAGAAAGACAAAGAACGAATCTGAGAATGTGTAAAAGGGATTACATGTGGTGATAAAAGGGACATAGTACTTATTTTCCCACTCATTGCATCTGCAGAGAGCCATCTGGCATTGGACCTGCCTGTCTCATGGACTGCCTTTTTCCCATTATTTCTGCCTACCCCATAAGATCCACCAGACAGGGTGCACGTCATGTCCTATCCATTAAGCAATGTCACTGATGGTACCTAGGAAGTGCACCTGCTCTTTTGACAATCTCTGAAAGCCAGTTTTCTTCCAAGCTCTGGGCCAGGTCAGGGTGGGTCCATTTGGGCTACAGGGTATGTCTTCTCCCCCATTATACTTACTGTTACGTTACTTTTCGTTTTGTCTTTAGGCTTTGTATCTGTTTTTAATGTACACACCACCTAGAGGCAGTGTTGGGTCAGGTGGCCTTATAAATCTAGATTACAGTATAACTGACTAACTCAATAAGAAGTGCAAAGGTAGCAGGCGAAAGGAGATCCATACGATCTCAAGCCCTCTTGTATTCTCAAAGAGCTCTTACATACAGTATACCAATCTTGGGGATGTTGTAGCTAACTAATGACTTAACTTGTATGCACATTTATATCCGGGCACCAGAAGGGGAGGGAAAGAAGGGGAGGAAAGAAAAAGAAAAAGAAAAAGGCAAAGAAAGAAGGAAATGTGTCTCCTACCAGATATGTTGGCAGAGTTTAACAGTTTCATCAGGATGTTGTAATGAGCATTGCAGCACTGCTTCTTATATATGTAGGTGTGATGTCATGATGCATGTACAAAAGGGGTAGGGACTCTCTCACTTCATCATTTGCTGTCCCCCCAAAACCCTTGTCTCCTACCTTCTCTCCTACCAACAGTGAGCTAGCAAAACCTTGGATCTGGCAGTAAACATGGCTCTGAATTCCTTCTTGCCTCCTTCATTTGAACTCATATTTTAACATTTTAATTAATTAATTATTAATTCCACCTTTCCTTCCCCATCTATTACACAGAATCTAGAAAAAGAAATCTCCAGATGCCCTGTTTTATCTAACAGTTGGTTTAGAAGGTGTGGAATAGGGTAGCCATATAAAAACAAAGTGGTGAGTCAAAAAAGCAGAAAGCCAGTGAAAATATATCAGTTTGTACACATAGATCCTATTTAAAGTCTATATGAAAAGAACATTCAAGGAGAAAACCAGAAATATATGAAAATCTCAACAGACAATGCATGACTTCTTGCAGCACAGCTAGAGCTCACCTGTGGACCTTTTTATTTCTCAGTCCCCTTTCCTGCATAGGCAACTGCATCTGTGCTGGAAGTTACCTGGCTTGGTGAGGTCCATTTTTTTTAAACAGTGAAATTCTTATTTTAGGGCTTACTGTACAGTTTTCACACACTTCCTATCTCAAAATGGTGGAAATGAACACTGCCACTTTCCCGTGGCATAGTCAGTTGAGCTCCAAGGGCCTTGTTTGGGGGCTGCAAGTGGCCCTCACTTAGAATATTGTAAGATCATGCAACACCTAAACTTGGTATTCATTTATTTATTTTGCTTTAGGTGCTGATTCTTTCTCCCCCTCACTTTTTTTTTTTTTTTTAACAGAAAAGCATTATATAGGGTAGTGCCGAGATGATATAACATATGTTATGTAAGATTTCCAGGGAAAGATTCCTTAGGAATTTCCTGAACAGCAACTGACTCTGATAAGGAATTACTCCTTCTAACACAATCATTCCAAATCGCCAGTTCAGACAAAAAGGCGTCTTTCGCGAGCATAGCCTTTCTGACAGAGCTCAAAGAGATCTATCCCTTGATGAAGAAATATCTTGTTCCCATATCCTGTTGGCATGACCATCTTACATAAATATATACTGGCTTGTACACTGATAATTTGTATTTGCATATTTTTGTGATTTGGGGGCTGAAGGTTGGTTTTAAACTATAAATGACTGACAATATATTTGGGAAAATTCGGTTTTGAAAGGCAGTATACAAGTTTTTAATGAACATGTAATATAAAAATACAAAAAAGGAAGTCAGTGTTTATATATATATATATATATATATATATATATATATATATAT